CCGCATGTGGGTGGGTTTGCATATCTCTTCTCCCTTCCAGCTCCCTGACACCGAAAAGGTTTGTCAATTACCCGCCACAGCACAGGTCTGCGATGGAGTGGGAGTCCTCGCAAGGACTTTTTTTTTTTTTTTTTTTTTTTTTTTTTTAACGCACAGAGAACTAAATGAGATCTTTCTCTTAAGAACTGAGAACAGAAAGCAGATTCCAAATCTCTTAGGCACCTGTGAAAATGGTGATGATCAGTAAAATCAGAGATTCCTCTCATTTCTCCTCCATATCGCCATGTTGATGTCAGATGACTTGGGGCCCACCCTGGGGGGGACTGTGGAGGGGGACCGGTGGGTGAGGTACGAGGCAGCTGGTTTATGGTGCCGGGACAGAAGGCAGGGCTTTGTGGACGGCCACGCCATCGGCCCGCTGCTGCCGAGTTTCCTTCTGGAGAATGAACCGAGCCTACAATGCCCACGTCAAGTCCCCTTTGCTTCTGAGAGTTACCGTTTGTGTTTTTCTAAGGCCATGACCAACTCCCTCCTATACCCCCAGACACTCCCTCTGTTCACGCAGCTGCTGCTTTGCACACAATTGTATCATCACTAGGAGCGAGATGCGGAAAGCAGGGACATGAAGTGCAGGACTGGCTTTTTCTTGGCTCTTTCTTCAGAGAGCCTCTGCAGGCTTGCTTGCTTTCTTAAGCCTTCCCTTCCATGGCACCCACTAGATGGTCTACATTCTTACCCCGACCAGTGCGCAAAAACCCGCCCTGCCCACGTGCCGGCCACACTCTCACTTATCTCCAAAGCCAAGGTCAACAGCATGGACTCGGCCAGGAAGTGATAGCATCTCAGAGAGACAAGGGGGTGGTTTGTTAATGCCTAGCATAACTGAGGCGTTCAGTGTGAAATGGTCACCATTTCCTGTATGTGTGTGCACATGTGTGTGTACGTGTGTGTGTGGATGAGCAAAACACAAACACACACACACACAATAGATGGCTATATAATAAATGAATTCATGAAGCAACCAAAGGGAACCTTGACTACAATTGACTGCAAATAGCAACAGCTTAAAATTCTTCATTAGTCTTAACACCATGCAAAAAATGCCCGCACAGCATGAGCCCTCGGGTGACAGTGAGCCTACAGCAGAGCACACTCCTAATTCGGACAGCATGCTCTCAGATGCATCTGGTCTCCATCAATCATCCAGCACACAAATCCCAAGGAGCAGGAGATGAAGCTCTCAGGTTAGCCTAACGTGAGCGGCCCCCACACTAGTCAGCGTTCACATATCCAGCTAATCAGCATGCCTAAGACATTTAAGTTGAAGACCAGGGACTGTTGGTTAGGGAACTGCAGAACTAAAAGGGACCTTGAACTAAAAGGGATCTTTGTTCAGCTTCTCAGATGTGCTGATGAGGTAACAGAGATGTAGGCAAGGGGACAGGGGTCCCCACAAACCCAGGTTGGGACTGGTAGAGCACAACCAGATAGTCCCACTCACCTTAACTATAGGCCAGGGACACATTGAGGCCTGACCCCCAAAGTGATACATTTCTGGAGTCCCAATTGGGTTAGGACTGTGTACTGAGTTTTAGTCTCTTCAAATAACCCCTTGGTTCTCACCAACAAACCTCCAGATTTGTTTTGGAACAAAAATTCAGGACCAGGTGAAGCAAAAGACACTGCCAGCTAAAGATTCGGAACAGGTGCCCTTTCTGTGTGCAGAGTCAACACGCCTATTCCAGGTTTTTAGTGGGGTGTGGGGTGTTGGGCGGAGCTTGGAAGGGCAGGGCTGTGCTGCTGGGCATTAAGACTTTGTAGCAGTTTTGCCTTACCCACATGTTTTCTACATGCTATTTGACCCCACCTTTGAAAAGTAATATTCAAGCAACTTCAAAATAACTGCCTCCCCCCACCAAAGTGGAGCCGAACCTCCTATTCCCTCTCAGTGTCTCCTTTGGAGATCATATTATAGTGTGTCAAACACTTTGCCCACACGTGTTTAGTTCACACTCCTGAGGGGAGGGCTCTTCTTTGATTTTGTTCATCAGGGTTTAGGCCTCATCTGTCCTTAGGGAGAGGGTTACCTATATGGGGGATGTTCCCACTCTCAGTCAAGGGCCATTGCAATCCCTTTGTCCTATTGTGATTTAACGCAAATGGGGATGCATCTGCACACACCATCACCTGTTCCATTTGGTCAAGTGTGCACTTTAGTGCTGTGACTTGTTTATTCCTGCTGTGTGCAGAGCTTCTGCTAGGTAAGTGAGTAAAGTGCAAAAGAGTGCTTCCAAAGGGCATTTCTAACAACACAGAAAGGGTGCCACACACAGGATTCCTAAAATCAAAGCCAAAAGAACGAATGCACAATCACTCTGCAAGGCCAACATTTGTGGCCATTTTTACACAAAGACCATGAATTCTCTTGGTGGTAAAGATCTCCCCACATCTGTGTGCTGTGTCCATGAAACTAGAAAGACATACACGCATAGAACGCACACACACGCACACATATGCACACATACACACACGGATGCATTGTAGCAAAGTCGAAAGCAGACTTTGGTCAGACAGGCTTTGAGTAGCAGCTCTTCTTGCTGTGTGCCATTGGGTAAGTTACTTAGCCTTTCTGAGCCTCCGTGTCCTCATCTCTACAAGGGGTGTGCAAACACTTCCCACAGAGTGTGGCTGCTATATTCCTAGGGTTTAGTGTTCGCAAACTGCCTAATCTCATGCCCGGCCCATGGAAGCCACTGGATAAGTGACAGGGAAGCCTCTCTGCCAGATTGGCTGTCGGGACTAGAATTTCATCACACCGCTCTAAAGAAAGTACCAAGTCACAGAGGGTGGACACCCAAATGAATGACATCCATGAACGGTTGGATCAGGAAGCTTTTAACTTGACAGAATGAGAGAGTCCCAGTTATCTACCAGTTTCTTAAAGCACCTCACTTCAGGCTGAAGTGACCCCAGGGTAAGGACCATTGCCCACACCTGGACAAACATCGCTTCCCGAGCGCCTGTTTATTACTGTGGGAACACAGGACGTCACCCGCAAGCCGAAGCTCCAGCCGCACGGAGCCATTACACCACGCCTGCCTCGGACAGGGCGGGCCTCATCAAAGTTGATCTTGCTTGGCAGCTGCCCCAGAGCAATGCCCAGCTTGACAGCCTCCAAGTTTGGGTACGGGGAGGGGGCGCCGCCTGTGCCCCAGGCAAGGGAGAGCTGCCTCCCACGGTACCAGTGGTCAAGGGCGGGGTGGGTATCCTTTTCCCTGGAAGTCCGGCTGATCCTGGGGTCTCTTGATAAATGCACCTGCGCGACAGTCACACGGATGCCCCCAAAAGGGGGCACTGAGCAGCGGAGGCCCATGCCCATCCAGTCCTGTGCTTGCCAGACCCCAGTGCCTAAGTGTGAGGCCCCAATAGCGAAGTCGGAACCAGCCCAAGAATCAGCCGATTAAGGAAAAGGCTGAGGCGCTCACGGCATGGTTCCCCTTTCAGATACAAATGCATTTAAAGCCTTCCCCTCCAAACATACACTAGCCGTCCCCCCACTTGCCTTCACTGAGGTTCTCACCTCACCAAGCAATTACGTATCGCCTGTTGGCTATTGTTTGCCTTGAAACAATCACCTCTGTGCTCCCATGGGTGTCGCAGTAGCAGGTACTGGATAAAGAAACAAGCAAGGAAAAAGGAAAGCTTTCAAAATAAAGGCAAAATATTGGAAATGCTTCTTTTAAGTATTATTATTTTTTTAAAACGGCATTAATGGCACTTAAACTGCAAACAAAAACGACTCCGTTTTCTTGTACAAGGGTTGGCTGAGGGGTTCGTTTTCCTCCTGTTTGGAGACGGCAAGATTGGCTCTTGCAACTATGTCTACCCTAAGACACCCAAAGGGACAGAAAGCCCTGAGATGGAATGATGCCATGGTTCCCCTGGGTATGTCTCAGACATGCAGGATGCCTATATTTTTTTTTTTTAATAAAAAATTTAGGATCAGCTAGACAGAACAGCAAGCTGCTGGCATCATGCAAGGCAATAGTTTTGGTACTTTCTCCCTCCTCTTATCAAAACGGGTAACAACCGAAGTCCTGCTAGAAAAGCGAACGCGAACATTTCAGAACCGGTTTATTTCACCATTGCACCCACTGAGGGGAAATGCATGAATCTTTGCCCATAACCACACAGCGGTTGGATTGAAGTTTCACCAAGGCCTGCAAGTCCGTCTGGACTACCTACCCCTGTGAGAAAGACCAAGTTCGGGAGGCTTCTGGCCTTGGTTGAGGTGATAGCCACAGTGTGATGTGTGCGATTATTTTTTTTTTCTTCTTCTTTTGTGATGAGGAAAGCAACTGCACCTTTGAATACGTGTGCTCTGATCCACTTCCAACAAACTGTGGGAGCCCTCGGGCCCCCCGCGCACACTCGTTGGAGCTGAGAAGGGCTTAGGGATACGCTGCTGCGTGGCTTGGATTGGAATTCAAGCTCAGAGCAACATGCCCACATGTCCACTCAAACGCTCCTTACAGGTCCCACGCCACCCCCAATCCGGTCCCCTTCTGGCTGTGCATGTATCACAGACGGGAGGCTCAGGAAGTGAGACTCCGTGTAAAAGACACCCCTGCTTCTTTCTCAGAAGGCTGGTCTAGGGATTAGCTGCCCTTGTCTTATGTGCCCTCCAGGGCGGCGCTGTCCAGGGGCACGGCACAGCACCGCCGGCCACTCGGCCTTGACCCTCGGTGGCCGTGACCTCCAACGCTTGCAAACACCTCCCCGGGGGGTGTCCTACGGTTGGTTGCTCATCAGAAGCGAAAGTCCTGGTTCTTTGATCCCTTTTGGCAGAGCAAACTCTCTCAGTCCTGTATGGCACAGTGAAATATATTCTCCAATGCTATGTAATTTTGGACTAAGGAGAGGTCTGTTTTAAGGCACGTGTCTCGGGGTGAATATAAAAAACACACACAAAGCTTCCTCCAGCCCGGCTCCCGGAGCCTCTAGCTCCTGTCCTCGAGCAGCGCGTTGTTCTCGTGGTCCCTGTCTTTGGTGTCGGCTGCGGCGGCGGGGACCATGCCGTTCTCCACCCCGGCGGGCGGCTGCGCGCAGCGGGTCAGCATGGCCGTGCTGGAGTGGTCCGAGTTGCATATCTTCTCCGTCTCCTCCCTCTTCTCCTCGTCCAGCGAGTAGTTGCGGAAGGTCTTGTAGATCTTCTGCACGTCCTCGGGCAGGGCCTTCCTGGCCTCCTTGTTTTTCCTCTTGGTGAGCCTGGCGCTGGAGCCGAGCTTGTTGACGATGTTGTCCTCGGAGGCGCCCTGCGCGTGCTTGTGCAGCGGCTCGGGGCCCCGCAGGCGCAGGTTGTTGGGCCGGTTGTTGATGCTCTCCTGGGAGGAGGCCTTGGCGCGGCCGGCGTCCAGCGCGGCGAACACGGAGCGCTTCTCCGGGGACAGCATGTCCAGCGAGTGCGCGCGCTGGTCCAGGCCCAGGCGCCGGCGCTCCATGCTGCGCAGTGTGGCGGCGCGCTGCAGCTTGTCATGGATCTCCACGCTCAGCCGCCGCCGCGTCTCCCGGAACTCGGCCGTCACGTTGGCCTTCCACTCGGCCGCGTGGGCCTTGATCTCCCCCACCTGGCGGGACACAGAAGGGCAACAGCACGCTGAGGGATGGCGCTCTGCCCTGCGGGCCCACACCCCCCACCCCCGGCCACGCCCAGCGTCCCCCGCCCTTGGGTGTCCCCACGGGAAGGCCCAGAGGGGGTGCAGCAAGCAAACCCCTTTATCTTCCCCCACCTGGCGGGACACAGAAGGGCAATAGCACGCTGAGGGATCGTGCTCCTGCCTTGCAAAACTCCTCCCTCCTCCCCCCCCCCCCAGCTCCTCCGCCCTTGGGTGTCCCCACCAGAAGGCCCAGAGGGGGCGCAGCAAACGCCCAGGGCCAGGGGTGGGTGCTGCCTCTGCCCTGGTCTCTCTGTAGCCTAAGTATGTCTCAAAGGGGCTCCTGGCTGCTGTGGCTCAGAGAGGAGCCTGTGCTGGGAGCCAGGGAGGCCTGGGGTTTGGAGATGGGCCCTGGGAGAGGCGGGCAGCATTGCGGGGTAGCGCGCAGTGCGCTGAGTTGGACAGGCATGCAGGGTTCCAGTGAGGTGCCCACGGCCTTTTCACAGGATGGTCTCATTGCTCGGACATTGCTGGGGGAGGCACCTCTAGCTGATGGCTTTTAGTGTTCTGTCAGAGAAAGATAAGCGCCTAGCTCAGATCTGGGCACAGAGCAGATGGATATTCAGATCTTTGCTCTTTTTCCCCCGGTCCCTCCGCTGCCTCTCTGGGGAGGGTTGACTAGCCTGTCCCCAGTGAGCTGGGACTGTCCTGGTTTTAAAAGGGAGAGTCTTGTATCCCGGCAAACTGGGACTGTGGTCGCCCTGCATCTGGGCCATGCTGTGGCCTAAGAAGCGCCTCCAGGGCACCGGGTAACCAAATTTCCCCGGCGAGGGAGCAGGAAAGAGGTGGGTGAGCTCAGAGTCAACTTCTGCATGGAGCTCATTATCAGATCTCCCGGCTCTTAGTCAACAAGACTAAGAGCACACGTCCCATGTTTTCCTTGACAGACGAGAAGCTCAGATTTCAGCTGTGAGGAAAGTCAGTATTGATGTGGTACTTGCTCTTTCGTTACAGCTGATTTTCAGCAGATGGGCTAGTTACCAGAGGGGAGAGGGAAGAGAGGAGACTGGCGGGAGACTGCACTGCTAGGGTTTTTGTAGGCTAGGAGAACTACAAGGTGCCCAGGACTGAGAGGGCACGCTTCTCCACTCGGCAAGCTTCTCCTGGACCCTTGCATGCAGAATGGCTGTACCTGGGAAGTACACAGCTTCCTTTAAGAGGCTGCCCCTTATCTATCTATCTATCTATCTATCTATCTATCTATCTATCTATCTATCTATCTCTCTATATAAATCTCCTTTCCTTTCTTTACTTCTTCCCTTCTCCTTCCCTATTTCTTCTCCTCTTATTTCTTTTCCTCTCTTCCTAGAAGAACTGTATTGGCTTTTGTTTTTTAAACTCACAAAGAATCTACCTTTCCTTCCTAGACTTTCTGTTTCTGGCCTCTGTGTAGGCTTTCACGCACGTTTAGCCGTGGATGTAGAGGCTGCGTGCTCTGGGATATACCTCTTTCTACAGATGGGATCCGGAGGGGGTACAGGTGAAAGGGGCCCCTTGGGTTCGCTTCCCCGTGTCAGCCGCTGCTCAATGACTTCCGTCTCACTCGGAACCAAGGAAGATTCATGATGTTCAAGTGCATTTCCATTCAGGCCCTGTGGCCTGAAGGACAGGCGGGCTTTCTGAAGCTTTTGATGATTTTTCTAAGCCTCCCCATACATTTGCTGACGGGGCAATTGTACACCTCCCTCGACCGCAGTCTACCTCTGCTGACTATTTTTATATGTTCCTTTTCATTCCATTTTTTAAAACGAAGTTGCTGTTTACTATTCTTTGCAGGATCTGTGGGCTGGTGACTGAGTCACCAGAGTCTCTCACCTGCCACAAAAGGATCCGCAAATAATCGCTATTCCATTTCACTTGGCTTTTAGGCAAACAGGGAAGCCTTGTGAGCCCTCCATTTAGTAAGAGACACTCCAGCCCATAGAATAGAGAGAGGGAATCCTTGACACGAGCTCATCTGATCTCAGGACCATTCGTAGACTCTGGAAGGGGTCCTACCTCTTCTTTGGTCTTTTTGGACAGAACCCGTAGCCAGTCTCCGATCATGCTGAGGACCGCTGCGAAGTAGGCAAGGCCAACAAGGATCCAAAACCACACGAGGGGCTTATACCACTCCCGGTAGTTGATGCCAGCATTTCCCCCTGAAAACAAGGAGACGTTACTGTAAGCAGAGTCTAGCAGGTGGTCTCTGCAGAGCAAACATATTCTGGTCCACATAGCGGAGATGCCAGCCCATCACCATCTGATGTTAAGATGTCAGGCCTGCTGTGTAGGAGATGTGATGGCGGTTGGGAGACAAGGAAAAGATGTTCCCGTTCCTACAGGAACCTGACTTGTGGCTGAACTCCCTGTGATTCTTGACCGCTCACGGCAGTACCCACAGCCAACTCTTCTTGAACTTGACAGTGTATGACCAGAGCTAGAGGACCACAGATCAGGCCCAGTTGTCAAGTGTTTTTCTTAAACTTCTTTAAATGTAATACAAATAATAAAAAAACATACCATGAAATCATCCCTCATGGTTCAGAAGTCATGAACCTGTTTCCTTCTTAAGTGCACATGCATTTACCAAGAGCGAAGTGCAAGTTTAGACTTTCTGGCAGTCCTGACACTTTGATCCGAGCCACCATGATTTAATGCTGAGGGCTCGTGTTTACATGATGCTAATCCAAAGGGTCCATTAAACCGAGTAATTAGAACTGCCTCGGCCACGCTCAAACTAAATGGGACCTCCAAGGCCAGCTAGTCAAATCCCTTTGTTATAAATAGAGATTACAGGAAAAATCCATCAACCCAAATTGGCCAGTTGCCTGATTGCATTGAACCGACCGGTCATTTGTTCCAAATAATAAGCCTATTTATTCTAGCCCGCCTGCGGGCACTGCCGAAGGTAACCGAGCAAAACAGGTTCCAAGCCCAGCCCCCACCCCACTCCTCCCCTCCCCCCCGCCTCTCTGAAAGATGTGGGGATGTTCTCTGAAATAATGGATGTCAGTCTCATTCTCACTCTGTGAGATGTGTTATCCAATAAACCAAGCAGGTGGTGATTCCTAAGACAACCGACATTAGCAACGTGTCAGTAATTATGCTATTACATGATGAATAATAGTCTTTCCCACTGGGTCATGGTTGTAACCTCATTGAGACTGCTGAATCCATATGGGAACTCTTACGGTATCAGTTGTACTCCCCAAAGACAGCAGGCCAAGTGGTTCTTCTCAATGCAACTGAACCCACTTAAAAAATTTTTTTTCATCCAGCCAGTGTAGCTCAATGGTTTGGTGTCAATGCACAACCCAGGAGATCATGGTTCGATTCCCGGTCAGGGCACATGTCCGGGTTGTGGGCTCGTTCTCCAGTAGGGGCATGCATGCAGGAGGCAGCCGATTGATGATTCTCATCATTGATGTTTCTATCTCCCTCTCCCTCTCCCTTCCTCTCTCTGAAATCAATAAAAATATATTAAAAAAATTTTTTTTCCATTGGTGGCTTATTTTCAATATTATTTTGTATTGGTTTCAGGTGTATAGCTTAGTGGTCAGACAATCATATACTTTACTCTGTTCCCTTCAATATTTCTAATACCCAACTGATACCCATACAGAGTTACTGTAATATTATTGACTGTATTCCCTATGCTGTACTTTACATCTCCGTGACTATTTTGTAACCACCAATTTGTTCTTAACAACTTCACCTCTCTCTCCCGGTCCCCTAACCCTTATCCCCTCTGGCAACCCACTTTTCAATGCAACCCATGAGATCTCAACAGCTACTGCCATTTATTAAAATTAGAATTCCAAACATTGCTAAAGGGCTCCATGGCCAGACCTCTTCTGTTTGGTGGTTTGGTTTAGCTGCCTTTATTTTTACCCTTTATGTAACCCCTCCCCTCCTCCCTTCCTCCCACACCTACAGCTTTCTCTAGGATGCTACTGGAGTTCATGCAACATTAAGTGGTTTTTAAGCTTTCTCCTTGGGGCTATTATCTGAGAGCAAATATTTACTTTAGCCAGTCACCATCATCCAACAGGATTGCCACTAGGGTGCGCTATGGAGCAACACATCCTTCTCCCTCTTTATCAGCGGATTGTCCAGAGTTTGGAGCTTTCCCTGTGCTCCCAGTCAGAGCTGTGAAATGCTATAATGTTCCCTGTCCTAAAGCGAGCCAGCTACTCAGTAAACCAGCACGAAACCTGTGTGGTGATCGGTGCTCTGGTGATATTTTTAATAGAGTTGATATCTTGTTAAATCACAGCAGCCATCAACTCTTGTTAGTATACCTTTTCCTTCCATGTCACTCTGAGAGCATTGTCAAAAAGACTATGATAAGCTTCCAGTCTTTGAAGGCGGGTATTCTTCGGACCAGTCTGTGTAAGCCTGGGAACTGGAGAAGAGCCTGGCCTAATTGCAGCCGGCTCTGTGATTAGAAGAGATCCCTATCTGTGAAGACCTCAGGACATAGGAAATACTGCTCAGTGGTAAGTAAGGGAATTGAAACAGGACCATGTCTGTGACTATGGAGGTCATGCCCTTCCTAGGTAAGTGAAGATAAGGTCAAGTGTTAGTCTGTGCTAAGTGCTCACAGTCCATGGTGCCTAACACAAATGAATACAAGTCGTGAAGTTTTAAAATCTCATGTTCCCTCCCTCCCCAGAGTTTTATGTCCATTGGTTGTACTTATATGCATGTATACAAGTCCTTCGGTTGATCTATTATCTCCCCCAGATCTCCCTCCCCTCCCCACTGTAATTTGACAGCCTGCTTGTTGAGGGAGGGAGGGGGGCAAAAAAAAAAAAATCTCATGTTCCCAGGGCTCTGCTATTTGTGCCCACAGAAGAGCAGATGGACAGATGGAACTGAACAACATTAGAGTAGGGGTCCTCTAGCAGGCAGCCTGGGGTTAGCACAGCTAACTAACTAACTCTGAGGCAAACTATGCTTGGGGTGGGAGAGTGGGGGGGGGGATGTAAAGATATTTGTGAAATGGTTCTAAATGCCAACTGCCATGACAGCCTTCATTGGAACCTCAGTGAGTTTTCCCACAGACCAGATTGGAAGGATGTGAAGGAATTAACTGGACAACCGTTCCTCTTCCTTTTCTCTGCTTCTCTGTGGTTCCTCTCTGGGGCGTCAAGCCCCTCCCTAGTCAGGTGGCCCCAGGGGACTTGTTCCCCACGGTGAGGAACTGCAGGAGTGGCTGAGCACTGTGCATAAGGAAAGACTGATGGGCTCCCAGGCTTTTATATACAATGTTCAATCACTTCAGCTTTGTCATTCTTAGCCCCTAATTAATAGGAAGGAAGACACATTGAAATTGCTATTTCTACAGTGGGGACATCAATCTTAGCCTGGCCTGTTGCAATAGCTACAAGGTCACTGTTATCTGTATCACAGAACTGACCCGTAGAGGAGCCTTCCCAACCTCCTCCCAGACTCTCCTGTTTCCCAGATTCCCAGGTCCCTGTCGTCATGGGCACCATATGCCATGGAGAGGCCAAGTCACAGCCAGGATCAAATGCCAAGTGAAGGACAGTCGGCCTGGATTGCTGCTCCCCTGAGGCTGCTGCTAACCAGGGACTGGTCAAGGCCACCTAGACTACCCACCATTTTGAGCTTATGATGGAGGTGTTACTCAAAGCACTCACTTCTTGGGGTAAAAAAGGACCAGTCAATGGTCTGGCTCCAGGGAACTATCCCATTAGGAGGGAGTAGGGGGGGCCTCCTCCTCCTGTTCCTGCCTTCCTCCTACACTCTGGGAAAGTGGTCGGTACTTGTAAGAGGATGGATCCCACCTCACTTTCAGCTCTCTCTGTCCCTAGAGGAAAGCAATGGTGGTTTTCTTTTGCTTCCATAAACCCAGCCCATGGGCATTGATGTTCACACTGAAGGCTATTGCTTCTGTACACATTCATGCAGAATCTGTTACACTATGTTCCCTCAGGGGGCAGCTCTCAGCTCTCAGTTCACTGAATCTTAAACCATGTGGGCACACCCCGACAACTTTTGCAGAGACAACGGCCCTCACCTCTGGTGTCGTAGGAAGCTTAAGCTGCAAGTCATGCAGGCTAGGCTCTGTGCTAATCTCTGCCGCTTGCTAATCGATTGATCCAAGGAGCCTCAGTACAATTCAGAAGCCCAACATTCAATGAGAAATTCATTTCACTCATGCATAATTCATATGAGGATAGGAGCGCTATACATCCTGGGAGGAAGAGGCTGCCTTCCCTCTCACGTTGGAAGCCTGATGCTGCTTAGATCACAGAGGATCACAGCCTTGAGAGAGCCTATGCACAGTAGCGGGGACCCTGGGCCTTTGTTGTTTGGTTCTCTCATAAGTCCTTTCCTCATGGAGTTGAAAAGCACTGCCAACAATATCTCCACCACTCCCAGAGGGCCCCCGGTGACTGGGATGCCTGGGGTGCTCACCTGCCACATAGTCACCAAAGCCCACCGTGGTGAGAGTGACCACCACAAAGTAAATGGACTCCAGGGCCGTCCACCCCTCGATGTATTTGAAGATGACTGCAGGGATGGTCACAAACACGATGCAGCCGGCCAGGATGAACAGAATGGTAGAGATGACCCGGATCTTGGTCTGACTCACTTGCTTTTTCTGGGAACAGCAAAGGAGAGAGACAAGTCAGTTTCATCGCCCTGGAACCGGGAGACAAAGAAACAGAAGAAAATGTATTCTGCCAGAGGCTTTTTATTTATTTTTTTTTAAAAAAATATATTTTATTGATTTTTTACAGAGAGGAAGGGAGAGAGATAGAGAGCTAGAAACGTCGATGAGAGAGAAACATCGACCAGATGCCTCTTGCACACCCCTTACCGGGGATGTGCCCGCAACCAACGTACATGCCCCTGACTGGAATCGAACCTGGGACCCTTCAGTCCGTAGACCGACACTCTGAGCCAAACCGTTTTGGCTGCCAGAGGCTTTTTAAAAATTTAATTTATTGGGGGTGACATTGGTTAATAAAATTATAGGTTTCAGGTGTTCAATTGTAAAACACATCATTTGTATATTGTATTGTGTGTTCACCATCCCAAGTCAAGTCTCCTTCCATCACCCATTACTGCCCCTCCCTCTTTATCCTCTCCTTCTATTTCCCCCTCCCTCTGCCCTTCCCCTGTAATAATCACCATACTGTTGTCTGTGTCTATGAGTTTTTTTAAAAAAATATATTTTATTGATTTTTTACAGAGAGAAAGAGAGAGGGATAGAGAGTTAGAAACGTCGATGAGAGAGAATCATCAATCAGCTGCCTCTTGCACAACCCCCACAGGGATTGTGCCCGCAACCAATGTATATGCCCATGATGGGAATCAAACCTGGGACCTTTCAGTCATCAGACCGACGCTCTATCCACTGAGCCAAACCGGTTTTGACTGTTTTTTTTTTCTTAATTCTTTCACCTTTTCACCCTGACTCACAACCCCCCTCCCCTCTGACAGTTGTCAGTCTGTTCTCTATGCATCTGTTTCTGTTTTGTTTGTTAGTCAATCTCACCCTTTGCGACAGCATGGATGGCCCTGGAGAGCATTATGCTAAGTGAAATAAGCCAGTCAGAGAAGGACAAGTACCATATGATTTCACTCATGTGTGGATTCTAATGAGCAAAATTGTCAGTGGCTTTTAACCTCTCTTTGTCCAGGGGCGGCTGTGAGAGAATCTGATAAAAGCCGTGGACCTTCCCCTACAAAAATGCACCTGCAGGTGTTTTCAGGAGTTTTGGGTGCTTCCCAGGCCCCACGGAGCTGGTTCATGGACTGGACCAAGCAACCCCGTTTGGCTCAGACCTCAGCTGCCCTCAGCGTGGCTCATGAGTGCAGCCAGCCTGTGATCTCCCCTCCTCACGGGTGGAAAATGTAAAGAACTCCCAAGTGGGGCTTGCTGCCAGTTTTCATGGCGGCCGGGTTTGGGACTCTCCATAACGCTGGTTTCTCTTGCATCAAAGGGATGCTGCTGTTAACACCCCCTCCCCCCTTTAATAAAAACCAAACAAAACACAACACCAAAAAAATTGACCTGAAACAGGCCAGAATGTTTGGCTGAAGAGAAAAAAAACACAGCCATCCCCACCCACATTTGTGACAGACCCTAGGCAAGTCTCTGTGTGTGCCCTCACCCTCCGTTCCCTGCTGAGGTTGGATAGTGTAACATGTATTTCTTTTAAATACACGTGTCTGAGCTGGTGCTGTGGTCACCGTGTTTGCTGCTGTATCACCCACGAGGGTCTGGACAGGAGTTGAAGTCAGGATGGCAGGGTCACTGTCTAAAACGGGTAGTAGGCAAGCCAACTCACATGAACTTTTGAAGGCGTCAATAATGAAGATGTCAAAGTGCATTTGGAAGGGCGAGGACGCTGATGGAAGTCAGAAGTGGGTTAGAGGCATCAGTGGTGTTCCCCTTGAATGCACCCCTGACAACGTTGGCATTACCTCCAAGCTGAATGATCCTGAGGGTCTCAGAGCTGCCGGAATTGGCACCCGAGACTGTTTTTGGGAGACCCTAGTACAACAGCCTCACCAAAACAGTATGCCGTCATACTGTGGACACCAGAATGCCCGGGCCTTGCCCCATTGCTTGGATTGATTTTCTGCAAAAGCCTACCACATGGAGGGCAGTCGATGCAGGAAATCCTCACCAGGTGATTCTTTTTTCCAGCCATTGCCTCACGATGAATTAGGAGGCAGATGGCCCAGAGTGCAGGAACCTTTGCACTCAGAAACCTCACGTCCAGATGCCAAAACAGAAGCTAAAAGGGGTGAAGGGGCTTGCATAGGTGCTGCCGCTAATTAAGGGCAGAGCTGAGAATAGGATTCTGAGGTGATTAACTCAGCCCAGGGAGTCATGAAAAGAGTCCAGAAACAGCTTTTTGAGTCTTTCAACAACTCACCAGCTCAGACAAAGTTGTCAGAGTGGTCCCCTAACAACAGAAATCAGACTAGCCTCCACGAGGAAGAGGCCACCGGGTTCCCTCCTGGGAAGGAAGATGGAGAATACAAAGCTGAGGCTGGACCTCCTGCTCAGGAACCCCGAAGCTTCAGTCCTGGCAGTGACACCTGGGCCAGGTTCCCAGGTCAGACATGGTCAAGAGATTCTCTTACCACCAGCCACGTGGCTCCACCCCGGAAATGACAGCCAAGGAAATGACTAGGTCTTGGAGATAGGAAGGTTGATTATGGTTCTGTGTCCCTTTCTCCCACCCTCCCTCTTCCTCCCAGATTTTTTTTGGAGAAACATCGGTGCTGTCTCTTCCCTGGAAAGCTCCAATGAACAAGAGCTGAAGTGGTGGTGGGGGGTGGGGGATGGGGAAAGCTGCTCTCACCTTGATCACACCCAAAAGACGCAGCCCCACTTGGCTGGGATCCTGAGTCCAGGTATAGTCAACATAGCAGAATGGAGAAGGCAGTAAAATGGGTAGGAACAGTTACAGTGGAGAATGTTATCTGCACCAATCAGCACTATTTATAATAACACTATTTATGCTCCAGTTCCCAGATCAATATATATTCCCTAAACACGCGTAAGAAAAGCTAAAAAACTACAATCCTTCTTTATAAAAAAAGATTGTGTGCTCTAACTCTCCAGAGGACACTCAGTATGTAGAACAGGGAACAATAACTGGGTTTGTGCTCTTATATAGGCCCTGCCCACCCCTCAGAAAAGCCATCTGGGGGAAAAAGATATTTTAGAAACTGTATATGAAATACAATTCCCCCCCAACCCCAAATAAAAGTATCATGTCAGGATAAATTCCCTGAGAACCCCAGAGAATGTTTCACCCGTGGTATGAATTTCCATATTGGCTATTACAGGAGGAGCCCCTCTGAGAATCCAGGAAGGTAGCTATGATTAGCCTAGTTTTGTCTGCAGACATGAGCAAGACTCCAGAGCCCAAAAGCGGATCTTACCGGAAGTTAACTAATTGCCGGCAATGGGAACACCCTTCCCCGCCCCACTCATAAGTCATCCTCCTCAAACGCATAATGAAATTAAAGCAAATTAAATGTTGTGAGACACCTGTTAAGTCACAAATCAGGATGTGAATTGCAACTGCAGATGGAATGAGGCGGAGGTCAGGGAAGGAGGACTGCCAGTCTGGAGGAAGCTGGAGAGACTCTCAGGCTGCAGAGGGTGGGCAGAGGGAAGGTGGCACAGGATGGCACTGGTCTGGTGGCAGACAGGGAGAGGTGTGACAAAGCCTAGACTGCCTGGTGGAGAGTGTCTGAGCCAGGTACACCAGTCGGCACTGCTCACGGCCCAAGCCAGCCAGTGCGTCTGTCCCTGGGAGGTTTCCTCCAGACACCTTGGAATGATGCTCAGAAGCTTGGAGAATTTAATCCCTGGGGTATTTTAGGGATTTAAGAAATCAAGTGTCTTGAGTGCTTGCACTTGTGTATGTGTGAGTGAGTGTGTATGTGAAAATGTGAATACCCATACTTCAGTATAAAAGAAAGAGGTGTGGGTGTGGGTTTTTTTTTATTTTTATTTTTTTTATTTTTTATTTATTTATTTTTTTTTAGCAATATATGTTATTCTAGAATCTAGAATCTAGATACTCGTGTTTTTGCTGCCCTCTAGATATATATTTTTTTTAAAATTGCTTTATTTGAACATTTGAAACGGTGGCTTTCAGGCTAGAACCACAAACTATCTTCTATTTCATTCGGCGATCTTGGGCTTCTTAGTCTGGTTGGCCCTGCAACTGTTAGATATACTGTAAGGCAGTGCTTGAGGGCCTGGAGTCCAGGGGCAGACTGCCTGCTAGACACCTCCTGTCCCCACTGCTAAACAGCTGAGTGACCTCCGGCAAGTGTCTCACCTCCTCTGTGCGTCTTATCTCTGTGGAGAAAGAGAATCTACACAAATAATTACTAAGTGCTGATTGTTAATGACTGTATTTATTTTTTGTTAAACCTTACCTGAGGTCATTTTTCCCCATTGGTTTTTAGCAGAATTAGAGAGAAAGAGAGAGAAAGAGAAGAGAGAGAGAGAGAGAGAGAGAGAGAGAGAGAGAGAGAGAGAGAGAGAGAAAGAGAGAGAGAGAGCGAATCGACATGTGAGAGACATATTGATTGGATGCCTTCAGCACTCACCCCAACTGAATTCAGGGATCAAATCTACAACCCAGGTCCGTGCCCTTGAATGGGAATCAAAACTATGGGTCAGTGCTCTAACCACTGAGCACACCAGCCAGGGCAACTTTTATTATGTAAAAGTTCAAATATTTCCTTCGATGTGGCCACTCCCAGACTGGATGCTGCCCTTTGCTACTGAGGCATGTTCCCTTGGGCTGGCTTAAGATCATTACTTTTTTCAGTAATTACTTCATTTTCATTAAGAGAACAGTCTTCATTGGTTCTTCTATGCTGACTCCAGAATGAGCTGCCAGACAATCTTGAAAGCATTTCTTATTTGCCTTTCAATTAATTTCCCCTAGTTCTTGATCATCCTTCTGAAACAGCCAAGAATTGCAGATAATGTTGGTGACATCAGGAACCAGTGGCAGAGGGACCTGAGAGGCGGGCGTGGCTTTCCTTACCCGGCCCCCACCTCACCCACCACTTAGGGAATCAAGCTGCGTTTCCAAGGTGGGGTTGCTA